AATGAAGTCCGGAAATTTTACCAACGAATAAAACACCAAACCGAAGGCTTTGGTGCAGGCATGTCATTCTTTAGAGATGAAGAAGGAAACCTGGTGATAGATACTGACAGCATGTTGAGGATCTGCAAGGAGCATTTTGAAAAACTCCTGCCTGTGCAGATACAGACAGCATGTTGAGGATCTGCAAGGAGCATTTTGAAAAACTCCTGGCGGTGAAGATGATACCTCAGAACCAACAAGAGATGACGGTATGGATGGATTGTAAACCATCTAGCCAATATGAGGTCAGAGTAACAATCAATCGGCAGCCGATGCCGATGGATTACCAACCGAACTATGACCTAGCTGATTAGTACAATTTGGCTAGAGGAATGCATGCCCAATGATTGGAACCTAAGCATCCTGTGTCTCGTGCACAAAAAAAGGAGACAAGGCGATATGTGCCAATTACAGAAAATTAATCTCCTTCCCATCGCATATAAAGTGCTATCCAGCGTGCTGTGTGAACGACTGAATCCAATGGTCAATGACATTATTGGATCAAACTGGGACTGGCAGTAAATGGCGAGAAAACCAAGCTGATGGTATAAACGCGCAAGACGTCCAGTAGACTTGGACAAATTGTGAAACTTGAAAACTCCAGCTTCGAGGTAGTGAACTAATGCCATAAACAAAACTAATGACATCAATTTTGAAATTCGGAGAAGAATAGTGTTGGCCAACAGATGCTACTATGGTCTAAGTAAGCAGTTTGAAACACCACCTCCCGCCAGACCAAACTCATACTCTACAAGACGCTGATACTACCCGTACTGTTATATGGATGTGAAAGCATGGGTACTTGCGCAAGCAAATGAGGCAGCTCTTGGAGTGCTCGAGAGATAAATTCTCCGAATGATCTATGGACCGATTTGACGGTGAATATCGCCGTCGAATGAACCATGCTGTACCATCGGCATTGTCAGACGTGTCGAGCTGCAACGACTTCGTTGGTTAGGTCTTGTTGTGAGAATGAATGAGGATGCCCCATCACAAAAGGCATATAAAATGGAGTCAACTGATGGTTCACTCAGATGGGGATGGCCACGAATTAGATGAAAAAATCAAGTGGAAGAGAACCTTTCCGAACATGGTATTTTAAATTGGAAAAGCTGCTTACAAGACCGACACGCTTGGAAATCTTTTTTAAGCTCGACTTATGGAACAAATGTTCTGTCATAAGCCAGATAAGTAAGTATCATAAGGTGGACCGACATATCCCATTTTCAATACTAAACATCTTATGAATTGTATATAAGAAAATTCCAAAGCTTCAAAAGAGGTTATGTCCAAATATCAAAGGTTCATATTTGGAAATTTTATGTGAAAAATTGTGTACCGATCTAGAACTCGGAATACGAACGAGACTTTTATGTGGATGTATGTATGCACATGGATTTATATTGATATTTTTGCATATATTTCCAATTCTATGGGTATCCTACTTCCAATACCAAACATTATAGGAATTGTAGACAAATTTCAAAGCTCTATCTTAAATTTTGCGACTTAACGATGACAGATAACCATAATGAATTTTATTTTTATAATTGGGGTCTTCGGTGAATATTTTGAGGTATTGCGATTTGAATAAACATTTTAATACATATCCCATATTTCATTATTACCACATGAAAAATAATTTAACCAATTAAAAACTTTAATATCATATCACATTCCAACAAAACCATCCCGAGAATGACATTAATGTTCAACAAATTTCATTGCCGACTTTTCCTGATTAAACTGAAACTGAAACTAAAAACCCAAACAGAAACATTTATATCCCTCTAATCCATCTGTAATACAATTGAATTGGAAAACTACAAAAAATTTGTATAATTTTGCTGGTTGTTATATCCGCAAGTTTTTAAACTAGGAAATGTTTTGGGCGATGATAACCAACACGAAAATGCACACAGATACACACTCACACGCGAAAAATTGTATAAATGTTGTTGATAGTCAGTTTTCCATAGTAGTATCATATTTGACGATGGATTTGATGGTTGTACGGATGGCCTCCTGGTACCTCCCACAAACATTGAAAACCAGCTGATGGAATTCTGAAAAAAATGTGGTTGCAACCAAAATGCAAACAATATTTTTTTTTGCTGCTGTTGTTGTTATTGTCGTTTTTTTGCCATATAAGTTGACTGAGTGTGTGTTTTATCATCATCAAAACATCAACAGCGTCATGAGTGTAATAACAACACGCCATAAGTGTGTCTGGATTGCAGAGGCGTAGTTAAAGTGGTTACTTCGCTGTGTGTACTTGACATAGACTTTGAAATGGTAAATTAGAGTGGAGAAAAAATTTCAGTTGAGGACTTTTGGGGTAAACATGTGTACATTAAATTACATTTGCAACACCTCGAAATATTTACCGGAGACCCCATAAAGTACCGTCAGACATCCTAACTCAAATTTCTTTAAGTTGGACCACATGTTAAGGCTTTGGAAATACGCACTAGAACGTTACGAAAAGTACTAAGTGTGGTACTATTTATATTGGGCCAACAGGTGAAGCTAGAACTCTGATTGAGGGTTACTGATGGAGTGTAGGATAGATGTACCAAAGGGTTTTTGGACATTTGAACTATAAGTATCCGAAAAGTACTAAAATGTACGGAATTTGTTACAATCTCGTAGCATGTGAATGGATAGAGCCAAAAACTTGAAATTTGGAATACAAATTAAAGTTGAGAAGTAGGGTCGATAATCATGTGGTTCTGGAAGTGAAAATTATGTATATGAATTGTACTAAATTTTGTACAATTTGAATTTGGAGGAACGGATGGAGTTGGCATCCTGAATTTTGAAATTAATATTACCGTCGGAGTGTAGGATTGGGATATGTATGTAGTTTTGGAAATTGTACGAAAAGTACTAAATCGTACTATATTTGATGTAATTTGTAATTAGAATTTGGAGTCAATGTTGGGGTGTAAGATTGGGATATGTAGGACGTTTTGGTAATTTTTACTAATGTGCATAAATTGTATCAAATGTGGATTTGGCCGAAACGATAGAGCTGGAATGTTGACAATGTTTTTATGTTGGTAATGTTTTTAGGGTAGCCCCCATTTAAGGGTACCTCCGGAATTTCGATATTTTGGGGAGCTTGGGCATGTTTTTCATATAAATTGGCTGTAATTTGGTATTTTGGGTTCTCTTTGGGTAGCAAATCTGCATACCAAAAATGATCAAATTTGGTCTAATTTTTAGGATAGCCCCCATATAACGGCGCCCTTGAAATTTCAAGGTATTTTTGGGAAAATGGCAAATTGTTTAACCGAATTTGCTGAAATTTGATATGTTGGATCCTAATTTGGCCGAATATCCCCCTACCAAACATTTTCAATATCGCTCCAATTTTGGTATTTTTAGGGGCTTGAGCACGTTTTTCAACGAAATAGGTTGGAATTTTGGGTTCATCATGGGGTGGCAAATCTTCCATCCAAAAATGATCACTATTGGTCTACTTTTTGGGGTAGCCCATATATATACACTACCTTCTGAATTTCGATATTTCGGGGGGCTTGGACACGTTTCTCAACCAAACTGGCTGTTATTCAATATTTTGGATCCTCATTGATTAACAAACCATCCTACAAAAAAATTATTAATATTGATCCACTTTTAGATTAGGCCCCATATAATGCCAACCTCCGAATTTCGGGGTGCTTGGACGCGTTTTTCAACCAAAGTGGGTTTTAACTAAGTATTTTGGTTTTCGTTGAGAAGGATATGTCCATACCAACAATTATTAAAATGGATCTAATTTTTACGGTAGGTCGGGTGAGCTCCCATTTAAGGATACCTCTGCAATTTCGTAAAATTAAGGGATTACGGATTTTCAACAGAATTGTCTGTAATTTGGTATTTTTTTTGTATATTCATGAGATAGAAACCTCCCAAACCAAAAATTATGAATATTGATGGAATATTCGGAGTAGGCCTCATATAACCTATTCCTCAATATTCAGTATTTTGAGCAAAATTTCCCAATGAATTGGATATTTTGGATTCTCAGAAAGCCTCCATACGAAAAATATTATCAGTATTGCGTCAAGTTTTGAGGTAAATTATATACATCGGTTACCCTTTATTATTCGATATTGGACCTACTTTTATTCTTTTTGGGTTCTCAATTTATTTCTCATTGGGTAGAACAATACCAAAAATATTGTCAATATTGAGTCAAATTTTGGGGGTAGATCACATATATCGGTGCCCTTCATTACTAGATATTTACCCTTCATTACTAGATATTTACCCTTCATTACTAGATATTTTAAGGAGTTTGAGCACTTTTTTTCCACCGAATTGGTCCTAATTTGATTTTGATTTGATTTGGGTTCTCATTGCTTTTCAACATATAAGTTCTGATCGATTTTAGGTATTTTGAATGTTCAATTCAGGATGACGAACTTAACGATTTTTTTTATACATTTCTCATTTAGGTAGTTTGTAAATTATCTAAACTGGCTCAAGTTTCCGTCATAAGCCACATACAACCCATACTTTTTTTTTTGCATAATTCTTGTTAATTGTCTTCTCCGTGTTTTCAAGTGTTCGACGGGAATTTATGTACGCTCCTCTTTCTCATTATCAAACAGAATTTTTTATATATAAAAATCACACACATACCTACACACAATGTTAAAATGACAATTAAATAATTTCTCAATTAGATGATAATGTTAAATGTTTGTTTTGTTGTTGGTGTGTTTTTTTTTGTTTTGCTTTTGTGTTTCCAAAGGGAGTGGGTGGTCGCCTCAGAGTGCTTTGTTTGTTATCTCTATTATTATTTTTTGGGGTGCAATTCATTTAAAGTGCCAATAATGTGTTATATATATGTGAAATGAACATGCTTCTTTAAGTGAATTCAATAAAGATATTTGTTTTGAGATTTTTTTCATTGTTTTTTCCTTTGATAGACAGATAGACTGACTCACCTCAAAACCTTCAAATCTCTGCCCTCCGCTGTCTTGCCAATTGTATAGAGCCGGCAAATATTGGGAAACTTTCCACGTATCTCACGCATGAATGCATAAATGGTATCCAAATCATGATAGTCCTTCCAGTGAATACCACTGCGAGCGGCTTTTTCTGAAAATAAAAAAGAGAATATTGATTTGTTAAAAACAGAAAATTTTTAAAGTTAAAAATAGATGTTTTGTTGCAAATGAAGTGGGTAAATTTCCAGGAAGGACCGTGCCAGTTACTATGTTATTGTTTAGGTAGTGTAGGTATTTGGTTGTGAATGTTTACATATTTAACATTTTGAAATAACAGACAATGTGACCTACATACATATTGTTTATCAAAAAGCTTCTTTGTGTGGGCGATACAACAAGTTTCAAGTGTAATTGCTTTTGACAGGTATTGGGTGGTACCATTACATGAGAGCCACATTTCGAAGAAGGACTTTCAAAATATAGCATTATTTTTGTGAGGGTGTGCAAGGCAAAAATTTATGAAAAATATTTTTTTGAAGGTAGTCCGAGGCTTAGATTTATTAAAAATATTTTTTCTAGGCTAGTCCAAGGCGCAGATTTATTAGAAAATATTTTTGTAGCCGAGTTCAAGACGTGGATTTATTAAAATTATTTTTGTAGCCAAGTCCAAGGGGATGATAGATACCATCCCCTACCCTCCCCGTGGTGCCATCTGGGGTAGCTATTTTCATCACCCGATGAAATGGTGAGCTAATAGTGCCGCGAGTTCACCCATAAGAAGTATAAACAAAATGGCTTGAGTCGTCGGGTTAGTTGCCCACACTTGAAAAATCGAACCTACTATGAAAAAGCAAAGAAAAAGAAAACCAAACCCACCTAATGTTGACGACCACCACAAACGTATAAAGGACCATGATCTGCGAATCTGCACTGTGGCGGACGTACTCAAGCAGTACAATGATAATAATATAGAAGCACAGTGGCAGAAAATTGCCCACTCCCTACAAACTGCAGCAAAAGCAACAATTGGGTACCAAAGACCACCATCAAGAAATCCGTGGTACGATCGTAATGCTACTGATATGAAATACACAGCGTATAGAGCAAGGGGAGAAAAGGAGAGAGGAGAAACGTATTTTCAGAAAGAACAAGAAAAACGTAAGCGTGAGCAAATCGAGATGTACAGGAGTCAAAATGAAGTCCGAAAATTCTATCAACGGGTAAAACAACAGACCGAAGGCTTTGGTGCAGGCACATCCTTCTGTAGAGATGAAGAAGGAAACCTGGTGACATATACAGACAGCGTGCTGAGGATCTGGAAGGAGCATTTTGAAAACCTTCTGGAATCAAATAGTAGCGGTGAAGAGGATAACCCAGAACCAATAATTGATGACGGACCACCTAGCCAAGATGAAGTCAGAATAGAAATCAATCGGCTGAAGAATAATAAAGCAGCAGGTGCCGATGCGTTACAAGCCGAACTATTCAAGACTGGTCAGATGACCTTATTGGACCAAACCAATGCTGCTTCATACCTGGAAAATCCACCATTGACCAGATTTTCACTCTGCGCCAAATGCTGGAAAACCCCATGAAAAACACATCGACACATTCCACCTATTCGTCGACTATAAAGCCGCATTTGACAGGCCTACCCAATCAGAGGTGTATAAAGCCATGTCTGCGTTTGGCATTCCTGCAAAATTAATACGACTATGCAGGATAACTTTAACTGGCACAAGATTAGCAGTTAAATTCGGAAAGGACCTCTCGGAGCCATTTAATACCAAACGAGGATTTAGACAATGTGTCAGTTTGTCGTGTGACCTTTTAACATCCTGCTGGAAAAGGTCATACGAGAGGCAAAAGTGAAAAGGAATGTCACTCTGTACACCAAACAACACATGTTACTCGCCTACGCCGATGACATCGACATAATGGGTCCAACACTGAGAGCGGTAACAGTCACCTTTGAACAAATTGAGAAGGAGTCTACCAAAGTGGGTCTGGCAGTAAACGGCGAGAAGACCAAGCTGATGGTATCAACGCGCAATACGTCCAGTAGACTCGGACCAACTGTGAAACTTGAGAACTACTGCTTCGAAGTAGTCAAAGATTTTATAGACCTTTGTACCGCCATAAACAAAACGAATGACATCAGTTTTGAAATTTGGAGAAGGTTAGTGATGGCCAACAGATGCTACTATGGTCTGAGCAAACAACTCAAAAGCAAGGCCACCTCCCGCCAGTCCAAACTCACACTCTACAAGACGCTGATACAACCCGTGCTTTTATATGGATCTGAAGCATGGGTACTTGCTCAAGCAGATGAGGCAGCTCTTGGAGTGTTTCAGAGAAAAATTCTCCGAAAGATCTATGGGCCGATCTGCGTTGACGGCTATTCTCGGACATCGACATTGTTAGACGTATTGAGTTGCAGCGACTACGTTGGTCATGCTGTGAGAATGGATGAAGATGCCCCAGCCCAGAAGGCATTTAAAAGCGAACCAGCTGATGGTTCACGCAGAAGGGGAAGGCCACGAATAAGATGGAAAGACCAAGTGGAAGACAAAATTGCCGGATATGGTCTTTCAAATTGGAAAAAATGCGCAAAAGACCGACGCGCCTGGAAATCTTTTTTAAGCTCGGCTTATGAAATGAAAGTTCTGTCACAAGCCAGCTAAGTTAGTAAATAAGTCCAAGGCGTGGATTTTTTAAAAATATTTTTTGTAGCCAAGTCCAAGGTGTGAATTTATTAAAAATATTTTTTGTAGCCAAGTCCAAGGTGTGGATTTATTAAAATATTTTTTGTAGCCATGTCCAAGGTGTGGATTTATTAAAACTAATTTTTCTGTTACTTACTTGTCCTCTGACCCATTTCACTTTGTGTCATATTCACACCAACGGCAGCTTCTTCATCAATCAATTCCTGGATATTTGTATTCAATACCTCAGTCATTATATTTTGATTTTCCAAAAAGGCGCGGGCTTCCTTAAGATGGTGCTTTTCAATGGAGACATCTAAGAATTTTGAGTTTTCTTTCCATACGGTGCCGCCTAAACATCAAAGCATAAGAGAGAAGAAAAAAAGTCGTAAGAAAAAAAATTAATTTCCATTTCATATCTTAAGGGAAACTAAAAAAACACACATATTTTCATTATTTCAACCTACCATATTTACTCTCGAGAATATCAGCCAATGGTGCCGAGTTTTGACGACTCATAGATTCGGATATATTATAAATACGCCATAGCTGTGCCTCATCATAACGTATCGGCAACTCATTCACATCCAAGACACCATCATCTTCGGCGGCAGCATCTTCTTTTCTTGCCTCCTCCTTGATGACAGCTTTTTGCGTCGCATCATTTATTTCCCTTTCGATGAGCATTTTATTTCCGGTTCGTATATTTCTATCGGCAACCGGTATCATTTTGCTAACATCGAAAGTCGTCGTCGATGCATTTGAAGAAGGTGTTAAAATTGCCAGCAATGCCGTTGCAGCTACCAATAACACGCTGACATTCCATCGTCTAACTTTAATCATTTTGTTGCTGTTGCTTCGGAACTTAAATTAAGTTTACTTTGAGGTTTAGGGGAATGGAAAAGGAAGGCCCAAAATATAGGGAATTTTTGCAATATGGTGTGGAGGTGTCGATATAATCTGTAATAAATTGGAAAACATGTAAAGATTAGTAAACTTGTGGTTAGTTTGAGGTGTAATAAAAAAGGACAGGCCTTAAGCTTCGCAGGGCACATGTAATTGTATTTTTTTTTTGTAAAAATCAATAAACCCGCCGACACCACACCGACCGACCTTGCAGCCAAAAGCTGTGTTCCATTATAAAACGTTTTTTTTTTGTTTTCACATCCTTTGCTGATAAATATGTCACGCTGTATTTATTTCCCAGTATTTATTGGCGTTAAATGCAAATCAGTTTTATTTATGGAACATGGTTGCGTTGAGGGTATGTGGGGGAAAGGTGCAGACAGTTATCAACAATCCATACATGCACATAGGCATGTGTAACAAATTTAAATTAATCCCAATGGGTTAGGTGTAAACACATCGTTGGAGTTTTTAAATGGTGGGTTCGTCGAAAGGAATATGCAGGCTTTTTAAATATGTAAAAATATCTACAAGGCTTAGATTTATTAAAAATGTTTTTTAAAGGACACCCAAGGCGTAGATTTATTAAAAATAGTTATACCCTACATAACTATGTTGTCAGGGTATTATAGCAGCCCCAAGAGTTTTTAACGCAGCGAAATATTGGTCCGTCCGTCTGTCCATTATAATTTGTAAACACGATACAGGCCACAATTATGGACCAATCTTCACGAAATGCATGCCGGATGGGTTCTGCCCAATGAAGACCCCTATTGTTTTTGTTAAAGATCGGTTAATATGTAGAGGATGAAATGGACAAAAACTTTATTTTTGTCTGATTTTCTGGTCGCTCCAGATTTCGCAGTAATTGCCCAAACATTTCGAATTTTCATATGGAGAAGGGGATTGGGCCAAAGAATAAACATGCCTGTTTTGATAAAGATCGGTCAATATTTAGCGGGTCAAATGGACCCTGATTTTTGTGAGAAAAAGGACAACATTTGTATTCTATGACGTATATATTTACTCCTGAAGGACAGAGACCCGAGAGATTGACAGTATATCTAAGAGGAGTGGTTGGCCTTTAAATTGATACCAATGTACTCGGTTGTGTGAAAATATTTAGAGGTGCCTACGTGTTCAGATATTATTTAGTAACCAATTACCTCACTGGAGGGTGAAAATAGAGCGCTGATTGCTTTGAAATGTTCCATGAGATTCCAGTTATGGTCAAGGACAACGCCTATAATTTTCAGTGATGATCATATAATAATTTTGGGATGAAGTGGACCGAAAATTTAATTTTTTGTGTTTTTGTGAGTCGATCTATAGCCCACAGTTATAAACCTAACATCACAACACAACCCACGGGGAAGGGAATCTGGGCAAGTAATTCGAAGGACTGTACTGATTATTAGTAATATTGGGAAAATATGTCAGTGTAAGAAAGAGGTGCTTTTGTTGACCTTTAATTGGGCAAGAGGGTCCAAATATCACGAAATATTGCCCAGGCTTGGAATTAACATCCGCAGAAAGTTAAAGTTCCGTGGTAGTTGTGTAGGGTATCGTATGGTCGGTGCCGTCCGACTATAATGCTCCGCTCACTGTTTTAAAAAATAATTTGTGGATAAATTCTTACGAGTGCATTTAAAAAATATATATTTTTTGAATAAATTCACATGCGTGGATTTTTTTTAAATATTCTTAAGCTCATTTTCAACTGAAGTGTTTATTGGCATTCCGGGTTTTTGGAGAGTGGCATATACCAGATATGCTCAATATAGGTCCATTATTTTATATACCCTCCATATAAAGAGAGTGGCATATACCAGATATGCTCAATATAGGTCCATGATTTTATATAGCCTCCATATAAAGATCCCGCATTATTTTCGGTATTTTGAAGATTTTAGTTGCATTTTTACACCATAGTTGCTGTTATTTGGGATTACGAGTTTAGAGGTTGGGAAATATTTTGCATTGACATTGTTCCCATAAATAGGCCCTTGCACCTTTCAGTATTTTCTCACGAAAGTGGCTGTATATGATTTTTTTAGGGTTGGAACCATTTTTACAGAAAATGTTCGATGTGACTGTAATTTGATATAAAAAAGAGCCTACTGATGGTTCCCGTAGAAGGGGAAGGCCACGAATTAGATGGAAAGACCAAGTAGAAAACATCATCTTGGAACGTGGTCTTCCAAATTGGTGGATTTGCGCACAAGACCGACGCGCTTGGAAATCTTTTTTAAGCTCGGTTTATGGAACAACTGTTCTGTATTAAGCCAGCTAAGTAAAGTAAGTAAGACTGTAATTTGATAATTCAGATTCCTAGTGAATACAAAATTTTTTCCCAATTTTGTTAAATGGACAACCTCCAGAAAAATCGATATAATTTTTTTGAAAAAAACATATACGCCTATAAATGGCATACATTTCTTATGCATTCATTTTTTTCTTCATAAAATTCTATCAATTTGGTCCCCTATATATTCATTCCTCATTACTCCTTGCCAACATCCCTCTTTTCCTGCAAAATTTTGTAGTAACCGCATTAAAATTGGTACCCGTGTTGAATAGGTACCGTTGAAGTTCCTAGCCGAGTTTTCCAATCTTAGTGTATGTAATTTTGTATTTATTTCTCTCAGCGCGTAAATAACATTCTAACGGACAATTAACGACGAAATAGTCGATAAACTGAGTTAGGATTTTAAGAATTTTTAATAATATTTTTATTTGTTTGGAAACAACATTTTGTTCGACAAGTATAGTCAAATAAAATACTTTTGAAAAGATTTTATATAAAAAAAAGTTTGAAAATATTTTTTTAACTAATTTTTCTTTTTTTCTATTTTTAGGTAAGCTCAAATTCGTTTTTTTAAATAAATATATTTGTACTTGGTAAGTCATATTTTATTACAAGCTTATATCGAACCGGGAGTTTCCTATTACTCATTCTCCAAAACAACACACCTAAATTTTTCTGAGATTCTAGGAATTATTTCAAACTTAATTTGTTTTCAATTTAAAATTATCTATAAATTAAAAACAAAATATATTGATGCACAAATAAACAAATGACTCACATCAATTTCTTAAATTTGTAGTCCATAGAAGAAATATTGTTATGAAGACAAAGAGAAATTCCCCTGAAAATGAGATAATTACATACCGATGATGTCGTCGTCATTTTTTTAACAACAATAAAGAATTGTCATGTCTTAAACAGATGTTGTTTTTGGAATGGATGTCTCTTGCCCAAATATAATTTCACGGGAAATATTAAAACAAAAGTCTATTTAAAGTTTTCAACTCCATGTCCCAGTGTATGGATGTGATTAACCCTTACCAGTCGTAACAAGACAATACTACAAATATATAAATAAAATTGATCATTAAGAGTAACCAAAATCGGAATAATTTTTTGCGAGAAGAGCTTTAGTCCATTAACATCCTGAATAAAACATATTACCGCCAATACGTGTGTAAAAATGAAGCTGGAAAATAAATTTACGAGGAAAACATGTCAAACTTTCGACAATAGGTTTGAAACACCAAGTATTTACAAGATTCTAGTAATATTTACCAAGGTGAGGTTAGGTATACGTAGTCGAACGAAAAAGTCGACTTTTAGACTTTTCGACTTTTGTATCTGACTATAAAATTGACTTTTCGAACTCTTGATTTTGTCAAACGTGTTCGAAATAGATTTTCGACTTTGATCGACTAATGCAAAATTGACATTTTGTTTTTTTATATGTGAACAGATAAAAAATTTGGAATGTGTATTTTTTGGGCAATCGAGGGTTAAATAAAAACACAAATCTTTTTTTTTTTGGACCATTAAAATTAGATGACAACTTCAATTTTAAAAATATAACTTGACATTTTTTAATAACTTTACACAGCTATTAAACGCTTGACTACTTTTTTCTTGTGAATGAGATTATTTTTGTTGTATGTTTATATGTGGGGTCGCATGTCCAATAACGAAAAAATGGTCTAATAACATCTAACCGCAAATTATAAGAGGAAATAACAAAAACTGAGAGTTTTTAAATGAAAACTGAAATTGTGTTACGACGTGGTACGAATTCATTAACACATAATTTTAACATCTTAAGTTTTGTGGAGTTCTTCGTCTTCATTGCAGGTTTTTTCAGTCATTTTCTTTTATTATTAGGGGTATGAATAATAAAGTCAACCGTTTTTTTTGTGCGACGAAAATATAAATAAATACTAAACAGTAAGATATATGTACATACAACTTTATGATGGGCAAAGTACAAGGGCTAACACATATTTCTGGCCTAATAATATAAAACGTAAAATCTATCATCAAAAGTGGTTCTATTTTTTAAATTCGCCAACTGGTTTTATATACCTTTTCATGAGCTCGTTCTCCACTCATATTGAAACGCACATTAAATGATTTTTGAACACTGTGGACCCTGCTTTTTTTCTTCATTTGTGGGAATAATCTTTGCACATACTGACACGATCCTTTTTTAAACGTTTGTCAAATTCTGCCAAATTCAAAGGTAACAAACTTTTATACGGTCAGGCATTCATGCAATATCCAATATATTCTGATGGAAGAAATTCAGAAATGTGTTCTATTTCAAGGTATGTCACATACCCATATTACATTACAAACGGCAGTTTCTGGTCGACCTTTTGCTCTGAATCCCTTAAAGTTGTTTTTATGAGAGCTATGAAGCACCACGTCGAAAGTTTTGGAAAATGCACGAACATGTTCTCCAGTTAATTCATTTTTTTTGCAAATTGAATATTGAAGTCACTGTAAACAACACAACTCATGGTAGTACGTCAAACCGTACTGAGTACGTTTATACTAAAAATTATCAAACATGCCAATGGTAATTTCACATGGCGACAAACAACACTTAAATTTGGTAAGTCTATTATCAATATTT